GGGGGGGGGGGAGGGGGAGAAGGAGGTGAATTGGGCAGCCGGGGGGCGGGAACGGGCGCCGCCTACTCGTCGCTGCCGCGGACAATGGCCTCGCTGCCAGGGAGCAGAGCCCCCTCGACGACCGGCGGCATGGCGGCAAGGGCCTCCTGCGCCAGGCACATGAATGGGTTCTCCTTGTTGAGGACCGTCAGGAAGTACTGGTCCCGGGCGAAGTCCCGGTCGGCCCACGCCGGCGCCGGCAGCGCATAGAAGGACCAGCTCATCTCGGCGTCGGCCCCCGGGGCCGGCGGGGCCGCGCCGCCGGTGTCATCCGCAGCCCGGGCCGGGCCCACGCCTTCGGTGGCTGGGTCGGCGCCAGGGCCATCCGCAGCAGAGGCCAGGACCCCGGGCCGCGGGACATCCCCCGTAGGATCGGACCCGGAGTCGGCGCTCGGCGCAGGGGCAGCCGGCTCGGGGGCCGGCCGGCCGCGGCCCACCTTGAAGTGCGAGTCCCGGCAAGCGTAACGGTACGCATGCAGCCAGATGTTCATCGCCTCGGCAGGGTACTGCACCCGCTCGGCCACCACCGAAGAGGGCGACACCCAGAAGGGCGGCAGGTCCTCCAGCCGCACGGGCGAGCTGGCCGGGGCCGCCGACTCCCCGGCCGGCTCCTCCAGGCTGAAGCCCGGTGCCGAGGTCAAGCTGTATGCCGGGCCGCCGCGCGAGAAGGACTGCACGGCGAAGAAGCGCGCGACCGCCTGCTGGCGAGCCGTCTGGCGGGCGGCCGTCGCCGCCGGCGAGCTGTCCTCCAGCGCCTCGGCCAGCTGGGCATCCTCGGTGGCCAGGAGCTCGGCCCAGGAGCCGGCCTCGGCCTCGGCCTCGGTGGCGGGCTCCTGCGCATAGGCGGCGGCCAGCTGGCCGGACGGGTCCAGCAGGCGGAGGGCCGGATCGTCGGCCGGCACCGGCGCGGCCCACACCCTCCGGGCCCGGCGGATGTGCTCCTCGGGGACCGCCTCATCGGCAGCCAGGAAGGCCGCCTCATGGTACAGGCCGCCCGCTCCGCCGGCCGGGCCATACGCCGGATGCACATACAGCGGGTCATTGGCGATCGGGTAGCCGAGGAATTGCAGGTGCACGCGGATCTGGTGCGTGCGCCCGGTGATCGGGACGCCTGCTCTCCGCCCCGCCGGGGGGGGGGGGGGGGGGGGGGGGGGGGGGGGGGGGGGGGGGGGGGGGGGGGGGGGGGGCAAGAACACCGGCAAGCCGGCCGAGGGGTGGCGCAAGGAGGGGAGGGAGGGAGAACGCACCACCTGCGCCTGGCCTTCAGCTCATCGGCATAGCTGGTGAAGCGCCGGCTATCATACGTGCGCAGGCCGGTCCACACGCCGAGGGCCGCACCGAAGTAGATCCACC